AAAAAAAAAAAAAAAAAAAAAAAAGAAAAAAAAAAAAAAAGAAAAATTTAAATAGTGAATGGGATGTTTAGTAATATTAAGGAAGGTATATTTAAATGTGATAACAGTCTCATTGTCATATTTACTAAAAAAAAACATTAAAGACACATAAACAAAAATCTATATAGATAAAATATTATACCTGACATTTGTTTCAGTTGAGAATTATTAAATCAAGGCGCTAACTAAATTTCAGTATTGTATAATTTATAAATATTACAAAATAAAATGTTAATTACATCTTGAGAGAAAAAAATACTGCCTCTTTATTGTGACAATTTTTACTACTTCTGTTACGAAACAAATATTTAAAAATTTTAAACTTAGTATTTTGAGATTTTTATGAAGTATAAATGGTTATCCACCCATAATTTACCTGAACTGTTTCCAAAATCCTCTGGGCACATAGTATTGTAGTTGGGAAGCAGCTAAATGACCAAAGATGACCTGAATGTGTCTTAGCACAGCAATATTGTACTCTTTCCTATCTTCTGTTTTACTTAATGCTGGTTTGTCTTCAAATTGATGAGGATATCCAAACACATCATCTCGAACATCAACATTACTCTAGAGACCAAAAAACATAATCAATGAGCTCGTCTAACTTTAAAAATAGAGTGAAATAAATGGAAACAAATACCAGATAGCGACCAAAGCACTTAACTTTCAATTTACTATACTGTTTTTACTACAGTGCTTATTTCATAGATGTGCTGTCTTAAAAGATTTCACAGGTAAGTCAGAATATGATAATAAATTAATAACCTTGAACATCCAATGGAGGTAGTATAACTTACTAAAGTTTGGTCAAGTAGACAGAACTGGAGAATGAGTGATCTACTATAACTGATTCTGGGGGAAAAACTTAGCCTTCCTAGGATTAAATATCTTCTTATGGGGAAAATACACTCTTCATGAATTACAGGAGAGAATTTATGTGACATGATTGGAATTACTAACATTAAATGAATATAGCTGTGAAGAGTAGTTGTAGCAGAAACAGCACAGAGAGAACTCTAAAGGTCATAAAATCAGGATTACAGAGCACAATTTGGTTGTTTTACAGATAATAGAACATCTTTCTATATGCTTTGCTCTGTATCTGAGATTGAGGATATACAAATAAACAATACCTAGTTTCTATCCTTGAGAAGTTTACAGTCTAGACAAAGGCAGGCGGACAATCACACTGTAGCACAGTGTCAAGACAAAAAGTACAGAGAACCAAGCACAAAGGATGTCTAATTTGAAATTTTATCATATTGTGTCTGCCTCATTTACTTCTTGCCGATATAGTTAGCCATGTCTGTCTGTGTTTAACTCAATATCCTAGCAGTAGCATGGGCTATAGAATAAGAATTTAAATTCTGTTTTCCTTCCAACAGTGGTTCTTAACCAGGTATTGGTATGGGCACCAATTATGTAGATTCTTAAGAAACTACCCAGATCCTAATGCCTGCATGGCATAATTTATTAGATCTCGGAAAAGTGGAAGCAGGAGTACATTTCAGAATTTTTCTAAGTGATGAACCACTACCCAAACTATTTCTGACCACTGAAGGGAAGAAATGTAGAAATTAGGATATTCTGATTTCTATATTTATTTCCTATCAACATAAATGACAGAAAAAGTAAAGAAAGATACAGTTTGGATATAAACATGATCAAAACATAAGTCTTCCATATTCACATTTAGAAGAGCCATAACATATTTACGTATCCTTTGATATGCCACTAAAACCTTAACTTTTCTACTTTTTTATTCTGCATTGAATAATTTTGCTAAGCAGCCTAATTATCTGTTATTGTCTACTAATATTGTTAACAGGTCAAGGAGCATTATTTATGAAACAAGTTTGTCTCTTTAGCAGAGCCATAATTTGAGAAAAATGTTAAAAGAATCTTTAGAATAAGTACATATTATAAAACTCAGAAAGTCTAAAATGTCATATAAATTAAATGCATTATACTTAAAAATTTTTTGAGAATAAAAATATAATGTAATTATTAAAAATGAATAGATGTATGATTTTTTTTTTTTGTCTTTTTTCATGACCGGTAAGGGGATCGCAACCCTTGGCTTGGTGTTGCCCGCACCGCACTCAGCCAGTGAGCGCACTGGCCATCCCTATATAGGATCCGAACCTGTGGCAGGAGCGCCACTGCGCTCCCAGCGCCACACTTTCCTGAGTGCGCCACGGGGTCGGCCCAGATGTATCATTTTATAAACACCAAAATATATTTACAATGTCACAGGAAAAATGATTGTATTTACTGTACTTTAAAGACAAATAGAAAACTGTGATAAAAATTATCAACTGGAGTTTCAAATCCATTACATAATGAGTACGTAATCTGCCTGAGATAGTGGCTCTGAGATTATCACGTGTGTAGTTCAAAAAAATCCTATGAAAGTACAATACCCTAAAAGTGAACAATCCTATGAAAGTACAATATTCTGGTATCAGAATCTTCACAAAGAGAAAATATTGATAATTAAAATTTACCTCACTGTCCTGCTTCTCATCCCTGAACATATCATCATCTATATCACTACCTGTGCCTTCAATTGCAAGAATACTATTCCTGATGGAAGGAATCATGTACAGCTGCTGGATCACAGAATTCATGTAACAAGTAGCACCTGCATTTTTGAGTCCCACAAATCCTTTTGGTGGGCGAGGTCCAACAGGTGGCAGGTATTCCCATTCAGCAAGTGCTTCGCAAGCTGAGAGAAGAAAAAAGATACTTATATGAAAACAATGATTCTGGTTCACTGGTAGCTCCATTATGCTGAAAAATTAATTCCTTTAGTGCTATAGCCAGTCTGAAACAGTATTCTAAATTTTCATTTCCATAGATCTCCAGCACACGTTTTTATCGACAGTTAGAAATAGTCCTAAAAGATAGTAAAGTATTAAATTTCTATGTGTTAACCATAGTTTCAGCTTTATTTAATCATTATAAACTCTCCTGTTAAAATATTTTTGTACTTTAAATAAGATCATCAATTCATGTGGATAGAACTTTATATAAATAAATCAGAAAATTGAGAAAAGTTTTTTTTTTTTTCCTTTTTTTACTGACCGGTAACAGGATCGCAACCCTTGGTGCTGTGCCCGTACCGGGGACCGGCAACGGGATCGCAACCCTCGGTGTTGCGCCCGCACCATGCTCAGCCAGTGAGCAGGAACCGGTCTCCACATGGGATCCGAACCCTCAGCGGGAGCGCCGCCGTGCTCCTAAGTGGCGCACTCTCCAGTGCGCCGCCGGGGCGGCCCAGAAAAAGTTTTAATTATATATAAGATGATTTAGATTCCAGTCAAGATTCCAACTTATAAAAACTGCGAACTTCACATAAACATGCTTCCTTCCTTATTAAATGATAACAGACTAACACTACTTTGCCTATATCCACAGTTTTATTGTGAAGAGCCAATGAGATGTGTACTGTGATCCTACCTGGGAGCGTAAAAAGAAGAAAAAAATGAAAGCACTGAAAACTACTAATCACTGTATATCTTTCTCTACCTAGCATAAAACCCCAAACAATTTAAACATCAATAACTACCTTGGAGAAAGATTACATAAACTATATTATACTGAACTGCAGTTACTTAGCTAATAAACAATTAGACCTTCAAATGCTGACGGATATATCAGTGAGTGCAAAGCAAAACAAAAAGTTAACAACATTGTTTAGCCTATTACCGTATGAGTGAAAAACAAAAACACGTGTGGAACTTGCATATACAGAAACAGTCTCTGGACCAGGAATATCACATGGGTAGAAAGTTAATTTTTAATATACATCCTCTTTTTCTTTTTTTGATGGCTGGCTAGTAGGGGGATCCAAACCCTTGACCTTGGTGTTAGAATACCATGCTCTAACCAGCTAAGTGAACCAGCCAGCCCTACATCCTTTTTTATATCTGAAAAATACAGACATGTAAATGCATTAGCTAAATAAATTAACTTAAAAGATTTAGTTAAAAAAAAAAAAACACCTAAAACTCTCACTGTATACATTCCACTTGGTAAATCAAATACTTGACCTTTTAAGCAGTAAATTTAGCAAGAAACTCCTAAAATGTGATCGAAAACTTACTTTAATTTCTAAAAGAGAACATAACAAAGATAATTTCATATGTTCTTAAAGATTTATACTGAACACTGTCTTATACATTTAATATATACAATAAATAATCTTAAGCCTTGGTTTTCTAATATAACAAAATAGATTTTATACTATTTTCTTGTGCTCCTCTCCCTTGGTGAGTTTCAGTTCTAGTAAAATCTGAAAAGAATTAGTCATTTTGTGGGACTGATGTGGACTCAGATCATAACAAAATGCATTCAAATATTCTTTTCTCATATATTCTGATCTTGAAAACCATATATTTCTAAGAACTCAATAAAAATAACATTAAGTCCTAAGTTAAGACATGAAAATCTTTCCAATGCATACATTTTAAATATGAATTTTTATGGTATCAAATTTGACTTATTATTATTATGCAGTTAGGAATTTATTTCACATACGATTAAATAAAACTCTTTGCACTAAGTTACCTAAACCACCTGCATGGACACATTTAAAATACACATTTGAGGGCCGGCCCGGTGGCGCACTGGATAGTGCGCCGCTGGGAAGCATGGCAGCGCTCCCGCCCGAGGGTTCGGATCCCACATATAGATCGGTTCCCGCTCACTGGCTGAGCGAGGCGCGGGAGCAACGTATTAATGTTCGCTGCTTATAATGTCTTAATTGTCCACCGGATTACTAAAAATGTTAAACTAGTTGCTAAGAAAACCAACACAAGCTAAACTTACTAAAAGAAAAAAACTCCAGAATTTTACATCATAGACCAACAAAAACAGCTTCACAATTTAAAATACTTACTAGTTATTCCTGTGCCTTTGTAATACATTTCAGTCAAACAGTCTACTATATGTTTGAGATTCCTTACGCAGCCAACAGCTAATGCTACAAGTAGTTCAAAACCAGCAATGATGGTCACTGGTGAACTACAGACCGGAATAGCCTGCTTGGCTGGCAGTTCTCCATTTCTCATATATTGCAGGTAAACTTTCGATGCAGGAAAGATGAAATCATCAATTAATTCCTAAAAAGTTAGGGGAAAATCCTATATTACTAGTAAAAAATACAAATTTTAGAAAAAATATGTCTCAGGATAAAATACTTTTATAACTATTTGACATAATTCATCATCTCTTTATATCTCAAATACAATTTTGGATTTTCTAATAAAAAAATTGTAATTCAAAAACTAATGAGTACAATTAATAAGCACAGTAAATTTTATAGATTATATACTTATTTGTATGTTTATTTATGTAAAGAAGTTTCTTAACTTTTTGTCATTTTATTTTATTTTTATTTTTTGGCAGCTGGCCTGTACAGGGAACTGAACCCTTGACCCTGGTGTTACAAGGCTGTGCTCTAAACAGCTGAGATAACCAGACAGCTCCAGATTAGATATTTTAAAGTGTTACAAAAGAGATTCAAAATGTACTGAAGAAAAATGACATTCTAAATAAATCTTTAATCAGATATGCACTAAAATAAACGCATTAAAATTATACCCTTGATTACAAGAGAAGTGAAGAAATTATAAGACAGGTGAAGAAATTCATTAAGAAATATGATGAGAAAAATGAAAAATCTTACAAGATAAAAGTATTTCCCATTTTAAAGTTTGATGAAGTAAAACTTCAGCTTTATTAAACAGCAAATAAAGTAATGCTGCTAACTGGCTTTCCAAAACATTTTATTTCAACTCTGATTTGTAACTACTTTAAAATATCTCTCAAACAAGGTAAAGAACACATTTAAAAATTTCTGTAACTTCTACAGAGATAAATCTTTTTATAAGATAAGTAATAAAGAAAGGTTAAGATAACGTATCAAAGACAAAATACTACACAGCTCAATCAGTGAGATTTGCTAACAAACATTTAAAAGACCATGATAATTAGTTTAGTACCAAAATTTAGAACCTACTTTAACAAGATTTGCACCTCCATTTTCACAACCAATGTGATACTTTTTCTCAGGCGTTTGGAAGGCCAACAACTCTTTGGTTACCCCAAGATGTCCTTCCAATATATGCTCTTCAACACCTGTTTCACCTGTGTTTTGAATATTATCCTGCCAAAGGAAAAATATTACAGGCAAAAGAGAGGAAAGAACAGAGGGATTAAAAAAAAAAAAAAAAAGAGCTAGAGGGGAATGAGATCTAATATATAATGTCCCCAGACCTTCCCGCATTCAGGTGGTTTCTTATTTCTTCTTCGGAACTCTTTAGGATAGAAAGCATTTTTGCCCCTTAGAACACTGGGAAATTTCGGGGTTTTACAAGTGAAATGGTACCTAGTAGAGGCCAAGGATGCTGCTTAACATCCTACAGTGCACAGGATAGCTCATCATAGAGGGCAATTATCTGGTCCAAAATGTCAGTATTGCCAGAGTTTAGAAATCCTGCTCCATAGTAGGCTTTATAAACTACTACAAGAATGCTAATCTGAAGCCAAAAGTTCTACAAGTATGTTTCAGAAAAATATTGTCACAAAACTCTCTGTATAACTAAAAGATATAACGTAGTTATGTATATATTGTTAGATATATGCACCAACCTATCAAGACTCTGGTTAAAAAAAAAAAGAATTTGTGCAGTATGATAATAATTTGCAAAAAAGGCCAAAAATACCAAAATAAAGGAAACAGAATAACACCATTCCTAGTTCCAGGAAGAGTAACAAATTTAAACAAAACTAGTTGTACATGCTTTCTATGAATCATGAATTATTAATCACCTATAAAAAGTATATATTTGGTTTTTATTCTCAGAGATTTTCTGTTGAATGAATACTTAAAACTATGAACACTCTTTTATTATTTTTTTCCTTTTTGTCTTTTTTCGTGACCGGCAACGGATCGCAACCCTCAGTGTCGTGCCCGTACCGGACCAGGACTGGCAACGGGATCACAACCCTCGGTGTCACACCCGCACCTCGCTCAGCCAGTGAGCGGCCGGTCTGTATGTGGGATCCGAACCCTCGGCGGGAGCGCCGCCGCGCTCCCAAGCGGCGCACTGTAGCAGTGCGCCACCGGGCCGGCCCCTATAAAACTCTTTTAATAAGATAGCCAATTTAACAGTAACTTCATAAACTGAATGTGATTTAACTTACCCTAATCCTTTTGAGCCAATCAATTTCATTGTTGAGAAGAACTTCAGCATTGGGAACATTAATATTGCTATTGTAAGCATAATTAAGAAGGTGCCGTAAAAGTGTGAAATAGTCACCCGAATGTTTACCTCTCTCTCTTGCTGTGCTCTGAAATATTAATTTAAAACAACATGAACTCACAAGTCCATGCTCAGGATCCATATAATATTTTTAAAAACCCAAAGATTGAAAATTATGTGGCAATACTTTATTCAATGACAAAAGAAGGCAGTATACTTTTTCCTAACTAAGATAAAAAAAAAAAAAGTAAAAACCAGTCTACAATGTACAAATTACAACTTTATTTATTAATAATGACTGTCCCTATTTTTTTTTTGACTGGTAAGGGGATGGCAACCCTTGGCACAGTGTCGTCCACACCACGCTCAGCCAGTGAGCACACTGGCCATCCCTATATAGGATCCGAACCCGTGGCCTTGGAGCTACCAGCGCCGCACTCTCCAGAGTGAGCCACGGGGCTGGCCCTGTCCCAATTTTAATAAGCTAAAACTGAAAACTCCTGAATTTTTTAAAAGAATAAATCATATTAGACATTTAAAAATGTCTCACCTCCAGAATGGTAAAGAGTAGAGTAATGAAGAAGAGCAGAGGCCTGTGTCCCATACAACATCTGGTGCACATTAAAAAAAAATGCTGCTGTGCCAACTGACGAACAGTTCTAAAATAAAAACATTTTTTATTTAATGTATTACTTTCTTAAATAACAACAAAATGACTCCAACTCTGTTCTATCTTTAACAGGGAATATAAATTAATAGCAAAATTACATGGTAACCCCCATGTTAGCACTTGGCTAGCACAATAGAATGGAAAAATTTAAGATATTTGTCAGAAAGTAAAACCTTACACGGTTACCCAATAGGTAGGGAACAATAGCAACTACTGTTAAAGTTTCTTAATTTGTTTGATTCCTTACAGCTTTTATAATATGCATTTTGCATGAAAGATAGGGCTGGACTATATCAAAGGCAAGCACAGATAAAGTACAAGCCTTTTGTTTAAGAAACATATTTTAAAATACGTCCCTTGGAACAACTGTTAATGCCTCTCTAAATACTACAGAAGGTGCCACGCAGTAAGCTCTACACATCTTTTTTGGCCTACCCTAAATTGCTTTGACAAACTGTACTTTGTAGTAAACAACTCATGGAAACTCAATATAGCTAAAAATATCGCTGATTATTATCAGTGGTTCTCAAAATACAATTGTCAGACCAGTAGCTTCAGCATCCCCTGAGAACCTCTAAGAAATACAAATTCTTGAGCCCCATTCCATACTTACAGAGTCATAAACACTGGGAGAGAAGTCCAGCAAACTATATTTTAATAATGGGCCGGCCCGGTGGCGCACTGCTATAGTGCGCCGCTTGGGAAGCGTGGCGGCGCTCCCGCTGAGGGTTCGGATCCCACATACAGACCGGTTCCCGCTCACTGGCTGAGCAAGGGGTGGGCGCAGCACCGAGGGT